TTTGGAACAGTGAGTCTGTGTATTTCTTCCATGTTCAGCAATTGTTATGAAGGTAGCAACAACACACTGCAACATGGCTTTCCAGTACTGACATTCTTCTTTAATTTGTGTTTCCAGTTCATAGGTTAAGCCAAAACCCTGTCTTTGGTTTAAATATGACAACATACACTCTCTGTGAACTGAATTGTTTTCATGTTTATCAATCATATTTGAGTTGGACCAATTGCTAAATCTGTCCATATAAATTGAGAATTAAATACAAACAAAACAAGATACAGAGCTGACTGATGGAGAATACAGTTTCCACTCCCTCTTATAATTTTTACCATTAGCTTTGCACCCTAGAAATATATTCTGGCTACAGACTATGTTTGTTTACCATTCAAAAATTTTTGACACAAACTTTCAAATGGCTCCCTGTGATGTTGACAATCACTTGGCCCTCTTCTGATCTAATAATTTACTTCATTACAAGAAAAAATTATTCCACAAAGCAGATCTGTAGTTCTGTTATTTATTGGGTCTGAAAATAGAGACAATTCAGATTCTCAAACAGTTTCACTTGCTACATTTTTTTTTTTTAAATTGCAGCAAGAAATGGATGGAGAATTTGGAACTAATTCTGTTTTATTCATATTGCTATTAGTAATTTCACCCCAGCATTACTAATTCAATGATTTATACCCATTAAACTCTAGTATTTAACAGAAGAAATCTCTTCTGACTCATTGCGTTTTAAAAAAGAAGTTAATTTTGGAATTGTCTTTAGAGATTCACAAATCCTCTCCTTTTGATCTGTGAGCTTTTGTTTTTGTGCTCCACTTGCAGCCATTTCACTTCACCTAGATATAAAATTATTTTACTTTCTAAATTTATCTGCTATTGCAAACAAATTTGAATAATTGAAAATAAATAAAATTATACACAAGTTAAACTTATAAAATAAAATTTATATAAATCAGTAAGTAAAAAAATTATTGATTTGGATAATGTAATTTTGTTCTTTAGGTCTGAGATGGTCAAAAGAAAATAATTATAAAGCAGTCAGAAATCATTTCATTCGTCTTATGATATTTGTTGGCGTTCCTTTCACAGATCTCCACTAGTGTTTTACATCTTGAAATAATACTGAAAAACTTGTGCATTCACTTTATGTCCTTTGATGCTGCATCTTCACATCATTGAACTAATGCTGATACCCAACAGGGGAAAAAGCAATCACAAAGAGCATGATACAGACATAAGGGTATGCTCAATCTGAAGTCATGTTTTGCTTCTCACTTTGCACAGGACAGGACCAGATATATCATGAGTAATGTGACTATTGTACCACTAGTGCATTCTTATGTGGTCGATGAGAAAAAAATGAATGTGAGGTTATACCCTATCGGTCCAAAATGAAAAAGAATATGTAATTGTTGCTGTATTCAAAATTCACAAAATATACATTTTATTTTATTCAGAGATATGTACATAATTGATTAAACAATAGAACACTTCTCAATGAGCAAGTTCTTTCTTTAAAGAGAGTCACTCTGAATGGAAATGGAAAATAAAATACACTTATGCAATTTTTGTTATCAAAATATTCATTTAATTTATTTCTTCAAGGACTTGTCCAATTTCCTTACACTGAGATACATAAATATTCTGATAAAATATAAATGCGATGTTCTGATAAATGCCTTTTGTTGCTTTTTTGGAAAGTGATCTTAGAAGCACACTAATTGTTGCAAAACAGAAACATGTTTTAAATGGTAAATAAATATTGAATTTTACTTCCTCCTAATGTGCCTAATGCCTCATTTATTAGCTATATAGAGTAATATCAAGCACTGTGTCCTGTGCGACAGACAATAAAAAACAAAACTCACTTGATACATACATTAAAACTTTTTGTGTTGGATAAATATTAACATTTCCAGTATTTGTTTTGACATTTGCTATGTTAGTATTATATTAAATTATTACTCATGTTAGTATTATATTAAATGTATGCTAGATTGGCAAATGTATTTTAAAGTTAATGTTACCAGTATTGTTATTTACAAAACTTAGCATATAATCTGCATATAAATTCTATACAGTTAAAAAGTAACTTGCATGAATGCATTGCAATGGTCAAAATATTCAAGTTGCCTTACTTTTTGCACATCATCTAGGACTGGTGTTCTCATTTATTTACCAGGATGTGCACAAGAGCACATCCTTGTTTTTGTATCATGGCAAAGAGATTTGCTGGCCCTCCTGGCTGGAGTTGCTGGATCAGCAGATTAGATGTACAAGATGGTTCTCTCACAATGTATCAGAGACCTGTTATCTGTTATCTATCAATATAATCCATCCTTGCCCAGTCACTACTCATGTGGATCCAGTTGTCTATTGGGTGAATGTAGCAAAAGTAAGACTTGATAGCCCACCTCCACCTTTTGTTTATTAGGAAGAAATAGCATACTTCCTAGAGATCAGCTGAGATAAGGAGTTTCAATTACATGGGAGGGGACTGTCACTGAAGGTGTTCAAGTGGTAGGAGCCTCATAGCTTAAACATCTCACACGTGGGCACTCTGGTGACCCTGCAAGAACTTTATTTCTGGCTGGCACATTCTCATAAAATAAAGTTGGTATCAATTTCATTTTGTGCCCTGCCAATTCCCTTCCACTGTGGTGCTAGCTTTTCCTTGTGTCCTGTTTGCTTGGCATCTATGGGTCTTTGCTTTGGACAACTGGTGCCCCTGTTTTATTGATCCTCTAAGCACGTGCTTACCTTGTTTAATGGGTAATCCATCCCTGCCTACCGGACTCTGTTCTGCAGACTCTGGAGCATAACACAGTATGCCCCATCACTAAATAACTGTGGGTTTTTGAATAATCTTGAATCCATAGCAGTAAACATCACTACACTGTGAGCTTCTGATGAGACTATAAACAAGAGCCGTGTCCTGATTCCTCATTGGGTCCAATGCATTCGGCACAGTCCCTGGCTCTTAAGCTGCAACCTTTAATAGTTTGTGAATGTCTTCAGGAAATGAGAAAATGAAACATAATGCTAATGGGTCTTCATGCTTTTACTAAAAGATGATTGTTTGATGGATGACTTACAAGATTGTAGTCTCAAAGGACTACTAAAGTCCTGGATAGATTAATGAGTAAAAAGGTAAGGATAAGTTTTGTCAATATGTGCAATTTCAGGGGTGAAAATGGGCAATCATTGATGTGGTGCAGGTTATGGAAGTTGAAGTGGTCTAGGGAAGGCATACAGGGGCCCATGTGATGAGATACATGTTATAGGCTGCCATTGATCCTCCAGCACATATGCTGAACTTCCAGAGTCTCTACAAATTGCAGTGAAATGGTTTGCTCTCTAACTAGGTGCAGGGGCTGAAGACTAATCTGCAGAAGGGGCCCTAGTCCCCTTGTTTATTGAGACAGAGAGTCAGCAAACGATAAAGCAATCAATGAAGCACCCTCCGAGGCTTGTTGTTGTTATGTGCCACTGAATCAGACCCGACTCATAGTGACCCCTCTTTGGGTTTCTGAGGCAGTATCACTATGGAAGTAGATTGCCAAACCTTCCTTCCAAGGAGTGGCTGATGGGTTTGAACCGCTAGCCTTCTGGTTAGAACTCAAGTGCCTCAGGCACTACGCTACCACCTATGCCTATTTTTTCTCAAACCCCAACAGTCTCAGATGGTGAAATAAAACAGGAACCCTCACCTTCCCATCGTATGGCCCCCTGAAGGCCCATCAACACTCTCTGAGACCTGGTATGGGAGCTAGAATTCCCCACTGACTGACACTGTAGAAGCATTGGTAGGCTTACTCTCTATAATGTTAGGGTCACTGATAGGGTGAGTATTCCCCTGGAACTGCACTGCCACCAAGCCAGAAGTAACCCTTTGCCAAAAGTTTTTTTGGTAATTGTCCTGAAAGTCCTTTAATCAACTCACATAAGTCTAATGGCATCTAAATTACCTGGAAAACTTGTTAAAAATACATATTCTAGGGCTCCACCCAGATCTACTAAACCACAGTTTCCAAGAGTGGAGGTAGGGAATCTTCACTTTAATGAACTTCTCAGGTGATTATGATTTACAACCTTATTTAGGAACCACTGTTCAGTGACAGACAAGTGGTACAGAAAAGGTGATGTGAGTGTGGAATAGACAGATAGATAGTGAAGCTCATGGTGTCATGTTGGTCAAGAAAGTGCTCAAGAACAGATTAAGTTACATCACTCTCTTCCACCCCGAACTGCAACAGCTCCCAATAGCCAAGAACAAGGTTTAATTTCTTAGAGTGTTATGCAAAGCTTCCCACAATCATGCCCAACTTCCCTCTCCATCCATCTCCCATTATTCTCTAGCCTATCCCCTCCCCACATTACCTGACTATTGAAATCTTTCTCCTCTTTCAAAGAGCAGTTTATATCCCCCTCTTCCACTGATGCCCTCAGTCAGGATTAATGGCTCCAAATTATAACTCTGTTTAGTACATATTTCATCCTGCCTTGTGTTATGATTAATTGTATATATACCTCTCACTTTCCCAAATATTATCAGTTTGAAGGCATCTCTGAATGATTTATTAATCCCATAGATATTTATTGAATGCTTACTGGAGCTGGGGACATAGCAGTGAACAACACAGACTGAAATCTCTTTATTCTAATACTCTCCAGAAGCTAGCACAGTGCTCAGAGAAACATCTGCTGATTTGCTTGAATAGCAGACATTGATGATCAATAAATGGAAAAAGCAGGCAGTCCAGAGGCAAGAGCAATGGCAGTCAGAGGAAGACAGGAGAAACTGACCAGAAAGAGATCTAGGCCTTCAGGCCCAGGGACCAGAAATGTCCCCACCCTTTTTTCTTCCCTCCCTGGGTCTCACATATCCATTCGTGCTTCCCATCCTAGATGTGAGGGAAGTCCTAGACAGCTGAGAGCCTAGTACAGGAGAGGAGGCACAAGCATCTGCCTGAAGAGGCTACAAAGTCACGTACCTGAGTTCCAGACAACCCAGCTGCAGGGCCATGCCCTCACTGACCTTGCTGGCATAGCGTTGCATGTAGTCATTCCGGAGCTGTGGGGGTAGAAGACCAAGGTTCAGATTCACACTCTCATTCCTTGTTTCCCCGAGCAGAGGCCTCAGGAGATGGCAGGTGCCTGGAGCACAATCCTGCCTTACTGATGTCTCTCACATGCAGCCCACCTTGAGGGAACATGCATTGGGGGGGGGGGGGATGAAGAGCAGAAAGGGGAGGCTCACGCTCAGCTCTGCCTCTGATTCCCTCTGTAACTTTGGGCAGTGATCACCGTGCCTCCATAAGCCAAAGCCTCAAGGTTATTGAAGTGCTTTTACACACATTCTTTCATTTCCCCATGAGGAAGAAAGTGTCTATTTCCTCCCTCCCCACACCACTGCTATTTTGGAGATTGTTGTTTTTGTTACGTGCCATTGAGTAGGACCGACCCAGAGCGACCCCTCCTTGGGTTTCCGAGGCAGTATCACTACAGAAGTACATTGCCCCATCTTCCTTTTGAGAAGTGGCTGGTGGGTTTGAACTGCCAGCCTTCTGGTTAGCAGTCAAGTGATTTTGGGAGAAGTCAATAATTTTTCCAAAGTCTTGTTGGTAAGAAGATGTCAGCCATGGTCCAAGAAAAGTCTGGCTTGGCTTCCAGCAAACCACCAGGGAGATCAAGAAGGGAGCTAGGACCAGATGGAAAAGAATGATGGCAGCTCACATGTATTTAGTACTTCTTTTGTGCCAAGTCCCAGGCTAGGCACTTTACCTGCAATATATCCTGTGGTGTGCTGGAGCAACTCAAAACAGCTCGAGAGAGCTGCTTATTAAATTTTCAGAAATATTGTGAGCCCATTGAGGTCACATTGGTAGCTTAAAGTAGGCCACAGTGGGAGTACTTATACCATGGAGATAGGCAAATGCTACAAATCAGGGATTTTTTTCTTCAAAGAGCTGGTTTATCAGCACACACTGATGATAGTAGTTGGTCCTCATGACAACCCTATAAAGTAGGAATTATTATTATCCCTATTATATGGAAGAGGAAACAGCTTCAAGCAGGTTAATGATGTTTGTGGGGCTACTCAGTTAGTAAATGGCAGAGCTAGGCTAGAAATCAGGTGTGACCAACTACAGAAGAGCTTGTGTTTTAAGCACTACAACCTTCTCTTCCGTCCTGCACTTGTTTTTTTAAAAAACCAAGATTTCCTGACAGTAAATAGCTACCAGGAAAGTCCAGAAAAAGCTGTGAGTATATGTGACAAGGTTAGGCTATCAATTAGCTGGGAGAGAAGCAGGATTGGAGAAGCTGACTAGGGATCAGGGAATGTCCTCAAGAGAAGTTGCCTGGATTAGTCCATTTAAAATCTGGGCTTGTTTTTCCATTTTGCTAGGAGAGGATGAATAATGCTTGGCATTTAGGGTGCACTAGGACCCATGGAGAAAGAATATAAAGAAAGTACTTTTACCTGTTGGTAAAAATATAGCAGTGTGGTCCTATCTTCTTTCAGGCTCTCCATGAAGTCCTCTGGCAAATAGCGGATTTGAAGATCATACCTGGGACAGGAAATTCAGACTCTTTGGTTGATACAGGGAAGCTGGTGCCTAAACGAGGGAGTAGGGCCTGCAAAGAGTCCCCAGCATGCAAAGGACTTCCCATGAGGCTCTTGGCCACTCATTCAGGATTTATTTCTTCTTTCCCTTCTCTTTGGTTGGGTGGAAGACCATAGAAGACAAAAGTGTAGCTAGCAGACAGTGGTCAATATTAGTCCTGACTCCAATTCTCCCTCATGGCAACTGTTTTCCTCGACCATCCCTTGACCTGGCTTTTCCACCCTCCTCACCCCTCTGCTGCCTCTTCATCATAGCACCAACAACATCCTGTCTGGGGATATTTCTAGACATCTGCACTGGTGAGTATGTGCTGTGAGCCCAAGTTAGGGCTTGGCAAGTACATTGCACACTTCAGTAGGACTGAGCCTAGATGCTCTGATTTTCTGAAGGAGTCTCAGAGATGTGAGGTACTATAAGGAAGGTTAATCCAAGGCCTTACCACCCCACACTCATCTGTACCCATTCTACAGCCAAGGATTCCCCTCCTACCTCCACTCGGCCTCCACATGTAGACACTCGTACTTGTCCTGTACCTCACCCACTGTCATCTGTGGGTGCAGCCAGTGGATCTCATCTGACTTCATGTGCTTCAACCTCAGTCCATAGCACTCAGCCAGCTGGATGTTGGGCCCAATCCGCCCACTCAGCAGGATGGAGGTGATGATCTCCTATGGAGGAGAAGACGGATGTGACTTAGTGGTTCCCCTTTCTAGGCTCCTGCAGTCCTCATGCAGCCCCTGGATTTTGATTTTCTCAGGCAGAGGGGGCTCTGTTTTAATGGTTTATTCATCTCTGATTCTCTAGTACTTGGTACAGGGTTTGGCTCATAGTGGGCTCTCTTCATACGTTTGAATGAACAAACAGGTGAAATGAGACAAAGAGGAACTGAGAGGAGAGAACAGAAGTGAAAGAGAACATGCAGAAAGGCAAAGAGCACAGATGCCTCGCAAGCTCCTGCATTTCGTTCCAATCAAACCAATTAATAATTACTGAGAATCTGCCATGGGCAGATTCTTCACTAGGCACTGCTAGGAAGGCCTTACATATTATTTCATTGAATCTGCACAGCACAGTGAAGTAGGTGGTACTCTCCCCTATTTGGCTGATGAGGAGACTACTGTCAGTCACACAGCTTGTGTTATTAAGCTGGGATTTTGAACCCTGGGCCACTGAATTCTGAGGATTTCTATTAGGTCAAGGTGCTTCATAGGATTGTGGGGTTGGGTAAGACTGAAGGACAGAACTAACATCAAGGGACTATGTGTCCCAATCCTCACAAAGTAGCATGGCCATAGGTAATGTAATGCTGGCAAGAAATTTGTTACCTTTTTGTTCTTGCTTTCTTATTGACCAGAGGGTAAGTAGGCTACCTACTCCACAGCCTCAAGCCATAGCTTTCTGAGCTAGATTAAGAGGAGGGAAGCCCATCCACAAAGCACTGACTGGTCAGTTCTGACATTATCTTAGTGCCAGTTGAACTCAGGTTTCTCATGTCATTCCATACGTACTTGGTAAATTGACCCCACACCTGATGAAGTACAGAATGCCCTTGAATGCAAATTTTAAAACTTGTAGGCACTGACTTGTCTGTTGAACATCTTTGCAATGTATACTCCACCAAGCCCACCACCAGCTTAGAGACTGAAAAATACACAGTAGGTTGCTGTCTGACCAGGAAGAAAAATGACACTTCATTATTTAGATTTTTTTTTTTACATTCCTCCCAAGAAGTTTATTTAGTCAATATTTATTTACTATTTATTTAGTAAATCAAATGTAATCAATTTCTTAACTGGAATAAAAAAAGTATGCCATTTTTATTAGAAGAAAACCAATAAATACTAAACTAACCTTTAAATAATAGTGGTTTGAAAGAACACCAAGTTATTCATCTGCCTGGGCAACCACATGTCTCAGTCTAGCTCTGCCACCTGTCAGCCCTCTGCAGCCTCCTGGGCTCATGAAGCCTAAATAATCCCTTCCCCATTAGGAAAGAAAACGCCTATCAGAGCAGCCATCTATTGCTCTCTGAGACAGACAGGGAAAGAGAGCCACAGAATGCACAAGTGAACAGTTGAAACAAATCAGTGCAGGAATCAGAACCACAGGCCTGGGGTAGGGAAGAAGGCTGTGGTCCACAGCACATCTTTAGTGAGGGAGCCAGACAGGAGGAAGAGCTCAAGGCTGGGAAGTCAAAAAAATTTCATTATCTCCACTCATTTTTCCTGTCACCGACCCTCTGCACCACTCTGTTCACTCAGTTTTTTCTGTTCTAGACATTGAAGTAAATGGAATTATTTCGTATATGCTCATGTGTTCGATGTCTCTCACTCAGCATAAAGTCTGAGATTTATCCATGTATACCAGTAATTGGCTTTATTTTATTGACAAGTTATATTCCACTTTATAAACAAACCACAATATATTCATTTGTTCTCCTGTAGCTGGACACATGAGCTATTTTCAATTTTTGGCTATTGTGAATAAATTTACTGTGAACATTAATGTGCAAGTCTGTGGACATACATTATTTCTTTTAGGTAAATAGTGGAATTGTTGAATCAAAGGTTGATGTATGTTTATAAGAAATTGCAAGATTTTTCTATTTTATATTTTCACTGTAATACATGAGATGTCTGTTGACCATCTCTTCACCAATATTTGTCAGTATTCTTAAATACTTGTCATTTTAGTGAGTATCTCATCCTGCATCACCATACTGACCAATGATACTTAGCATATTTTCACATGTGTATTGGCCATTCTTCCTTTTAGAAGTGTTCAAATTTTTTGCCATTTTTCTTGTGTATGTTGTCCTTTGAGTTGTAGAAGATTTTTATTCATTCAGAATAAAAATACTTTGTGTGATATAAGATCTATGAATATTTTTCTCATGTTTGTGGCTTGCCTACTCATTTTCTTATCAGTGTCTTGATAAAGTCTAATTTACCAAAATTTTCTTTCATGATTAGTGCTTTCTATGTCTTCTAAAAAATCTTTGCTTGTCTCCAGCTCATGATGATGTCTTCCTATATAAACTTTTACTTATAGGTCTGTAATTCATCTTGAATTAATTTTTATACATGGTGTGAGGTAGGCGCCACTATTCATTTTTTGCTCCTCATACAGTTCTAGAGTTTTTCCTGTACTTGTTGACTTTTCTTTCCCAATTGAAATGTTTTGGCTACTTTTGTCAAAAATCAAATTGGCTGTAGATGTTTAGATGCATTTCTGGACTATCATTTCTTTTCTATCAGTCTTTGTTTATACTTATGCCAATACATCATTGTCTGGGTTACTGTAGCTTTAGAGGAAATTTTAAGTCAAACAGGATAAATTTTGTATTTTTTTCCCCAAGATTGTTTGGCTACTCTAGGCCTTTGCATTTCCATAGAATCAGCTTGTCACTTTCTATTTAGAAAGTCTGCTGGACTGTAATTGGTTGCGCTAAACCTATAGCTTAATGGAAGAGAAATGACATACAATATTGAGTCTTCTAATCCTTAAACAAGGAGCTCTGGTAGCATAGTGCCTAAGGCACTTGACTGCTAACCAGAAGGCTGGCGGTTCAAACCCACCAGCCACTCCTTGGAAGGAAGATCGGGCAATCTATTTCCATAGTGATACTGCCTTGGAAACCCAAGGAGGGGTCGCTATGAGTTGGGTCCGATTCGATGGCAAATAACAACAACAACAATCCTTAAACATGACACATCCCTCCACTTACTCAGATCTTAAATTTCTCTCAGCAGTTTTTTTTTTTTTTTTAATGAGTCAGGGAAATAAATCAATTTAATTCCATGACAGACATTAAAAATCAGCACAGGTTAAATATTATTCTTAATTATACAAAGGAAAACCAAGGAATTGTAGACAATTTCAACTTTTGGGATGAAAGATAACACACACAATTGTTTTGTCTGTGACTAATTACAAACAAATTGGTGTGGTATACTTTAAAATAAATACTTTGTAAATAATTTCCCTGTAACAATTAGTAATATAATTTACTAATATTTTCTTTTTCATAAACTTTTTAAAAAAATAAGTGAAAGTTTACACAGCAAATTAAGTGTTCACCTTTAAAAATTTTTAAACAAATTATTCTGCTCCATTGGTTACAATTTTTACAATGTGTCAGCATTCTCATTTTCATTCTGTTTCTTCTGTTTCCACTGGTCTAGCTTCCCTTTCCTTCCTTGCCTCTCATCTTTGCTTTTGGGTAACTGTAGACTGTTTGGTCTCATATGGTTAATTGTTTAAGGGAACACATTACTCATGGGTGATATTGTTTATTTTATAAGCCAATCCATTATTTGGCTGAAAAGTGACCTGCAGAAATAGCTTCAATTTCAAGTTCAAAGAGTCTCTTAGGGTGATAGTCTTGGGGTGTCCTTTAGGCTCTGTCAGTTCAGTAGGTCTGGCCTCTTTTATGAATTTGAGTTTTGTTCTACATTTTTCTCCTATTTTATCCAGAACCTTCTGTTGTGTCCCTGGTCAGAATGGTAGTGGTAGCCAGAAATCATCTAGTTTTTCTGGTCTCAGGTTAGAAGAGGTTGTGGCTCACATGGGCTATTAGTCTCATGGACTAGTTTCTATTTTGAGCTCTCATTCTCTTCTGCTCTGTAGAGTACAGACATATAGTTGTATCTTAGATGACTGCTTGAAAGCTTTTAAGACATCAGATGCTATTCACCAAACTAGGATGTAGAACATTATCTTTGTGTACTGTGTTATGTCAGTTCACTAAGTTGTCCCCCAACACTATGGTCCCAAGTGTTTTGACCATGTAAGCCAATCTCATGAGTTGTTTGAATATATTTAGGAAGGCTCCGTAACTCTGACCCTGTAATAAAGGTGTGGGGGCAGCATCTGACCTCCTCCCTTCACAAGTGGGGAGAAGGATCAAGATCAATGGCTCAAGGCTATTCCTATGAGGAGGAGGTCAGACATGCCTCCACCCTCTGGCATTTTTTCCAGTTCTGCCAACCATCTCTTCCATGGCACTCTTTACTTTTCTGCTAGGTTCAATAATTCATTGCAATGGCCACACAGAACTCACATACAATACTCAGAATTATGGTTTATTAAGGAAGTAACAGGTTACAATTCAGGATCAGAAATAACTCAGGATACAGTTCTTCAATCAGGACAGCCTCTTCTCAGCAGTGCGGCAGGTATGCCTCTTTCTGGTCTGTGGCTCTTTGGCCCTGTGGCCCCTTGGCATCTACACTGTTCTGCTGAAAAATGCCCAGAGGCACCCAACTTCGCCAGCAAGCCTCCTGCCTGAAGACACTCAGCTTCTCACTCTGTAGGCTGGGAAGCCCACTAGTCTGGCTTGTGCTGATCTCCTGGTTGCGATGCCTCTGCTGCCTCCATTGCCTCTGCTGCTGCCATTTCTCTGCCATCACTTCCTGCTGTCTCTGGTGTCACAGCTCTCTGTCTCTTATATTTAGGAGGTTAAGCACAGGAATCTTGGATCCAAGGGATGTGCTCCACTCCTGGATCTTCTTTCTTGATGGTAGTGAGATCTCCTCTTTCTACATCTGGGATAGCTCATTTTAAGTCTAGTAGGATGGCCAAACTGACCAATCACCACATTAGGGTTCCATATACCTTATTTGCATAGTCCCACCACCACAAGTGTGCCAAGCACCTTATTTACACT